ACTGATATTTTTACACATATTTAAACAATTATTTAAACATATAATATATACAAAACATGTTTTGAATTTTTACACATATTTGAACAATTATTTACACTCTATTCAGCGCCCAAGAGCTACACATGTTTGAGGTTTATTGAGCAAGGTTGTTGTATGAGCCATAAGAGGTAAGAGGCACAGTTTATGAAGATATGTGGGAAAGATATCGGTTGACTCCCACATGAATAGGTTAACTCTTGGGAGTCGGTTCCACAAAGTACCGTCTCGTGCGAAGAAACAGTTCGAGTGAAACTTACTCCTTACTAAAGGAATAGAAAGGGGAAAGGGTGGTTTGCCTCAGCGTACGCGGTGTGGCGAGTCTTAGATGTGAGGGTTAGGGTTGGTGGAACCAAGGAATGTTACTCGTTAGAACATTTTCCATGGAAAGAGCGATAGAGTAGTTTGAGGCTTGCAACGTTTCGTCTGTGGGAAAGCTTTGGTATACGGCCATAGTAATATGAAAAACTATCTTTAAGCGCAGTGTGCGCTTTACTATAATAGTTCTTTTCAGATTAAAAATGAAATGAATGTTAGATTCCTGTTGAAAGACGCATTTTCTTTAATATGACTTTTATTGCATTTTTTAATCTTACAATCCAGAGCAGATTTTTTGTAACTTATATAAACGTTACGCGCTGTAAAATAGAATTTCTGGAAATTTCATAAATTTAAATAAGTGTGGGATAACAAATGTAAAAAAAAAAAAAAAATTACAACGATTTTCTAAAAAAAAAAGAAAAAATAAAGAAAAAAAAGAAGAAAATAAGAAACGTTTCAAAAATAATTTAATTCATTTGTGAATAAGGCCTGGAAGTTTCATTTAAATCCGACTATTATCCAAACGAATGTGTTTTTAATCAAATTTCCCATACAAATTCATGGTCTTGTGTTGACGCCAAGGAAACAAGAATTTTAACTAAAATTTCGAAGATTCTAAAAAGGATTGAAATAAATCATTTTTACATAAAATATCCTTTGGTCTTCCCTCTTAATAATAACAGAATTGTTTTGACGCTGAAATTTTGTTTTTATTAAGTTTTGGAAAGAGCGATAACAGTTATTGACCTTGAGAAACTTACTTTTCTGAAAAATTATTTTAAGAGAAAGATTTTACAAATTTCAAGTGAAAGTAGTACTGGCTGCTCAGTCACTGAATGCCAAATGTTTCCTTGGAGAGAAACGGTTAATATTACCATTACAACTAATCGTCTAAAATGTATGAACGGACATATTCTTATTAGTGAACGGGACGCAAAATTGAAATTAAAAAGTGAAATTAACGCAAAGGGTGAATTTTTCAGAAAGCACCATCAGTGTAAAATACAATATGGAAAGAGATTCGCTTGATGAAGACGACTGATTAGCAATCCAACATAATAGTTAGACACCAGTATGTCTTAGACAAGTGAAAAAGTTCCTAACACCGTTTTCTTGAAAACTAGGAACTGATTATACAGTTTGAAATCGATTTATCGCTAGAAAATATGCACACAGTTAAACTCCCACCCCACATATCAGCGAAAAAAAAAACTGCCAAATTATTAAATCTGGAGGTTTTCCTTTCATTAGTGGCTTGGAATTGAGGAAACATTAACATTGTTTTTATGGTCATCATTTTAAGTGATTTCACTATTTGAAAAAGCACAAAAAATCGTAAAAAAGATTGCAGGGGGTGAGACACATGTGAGGTGGTCAGGACAATCTATCACTGATATTATGTTATAAACACAATAAAGGTGAAGATACTCAGTGCATCTAGATGACAACCCGATGACGTTTGTCGAGAAAATACTTTTTTTAATCATTCCACCCCATGCAAGGCAACAAAGCCACTAAGACGAAAGGGGGGGTACTGATTTGGTTTGGTTTGTTTTACGTCATATATATATATATATATATATATATATATTCCATATGAGATTTGCTTAATGGAGTCAATTACCTCTTGATAAGTAGGTTCAAAAGACAATTCCGGAATTTCAGAATTTTTGCTTAATTGATGTGATGGCTTCCTCATCAGTAACCAAAGTAGTGTTTAACAGTTTCGAAATACTCTTTCCAGCGATCTAAAATGTCTGACTTATTCGTCAAGAGTGTTTCACAATCTGCTGTGGAGATTGAGGCAACACCACTTTTCTGAGGACCGAAAATGCTATTGAGACCAGCATAGAAAGCCTTTAGATCCTTTCTATCTGAAACTTCTTGGAGTTCAGTGGCCTTTTCAGACCACCAACACTCTTTCATGGCTCTGAGAGCTCGCTGGACCTGACTTTTGCACTTCTTGTAAGCGATCTTCTTATCAGATGAGTTCTTGTCCTTAATCCATGCTTTATGAGAAGAGTGCAATTGATCTATAAGCTGCTGAACTTCTGTATTATTGTCATCAAACCAGTCTTGATGGTTACGATGTGGCAGGCCGAGAGCCTCCAAGGATGTAGAATATGTTGCATCACGCAGAATATTCCAAGATGATTCGATATCATTGATAATATTTACAGAATCAAGTGCAGCATCAAGTTTGTCAGAGATCTCAATTTTCGTTTCAGTCGATTTAATGCGCTTGGGCACTGTAGATTTTATAATCCTTCGCTTTTGCAGATGCAGTGTAGTTTTACTTCGAAGTAGAGCGTGATCTGACAGATAGCATGTTGTGTGGAATGAAAGCGTTATCTTAAAATCTTTTATGTCTCATCTTTTGGTGATGACGTAGTCGATCAGATGCCAGTCTTTCGAACGAGGATGCATCCACGTGGTCTTATGACAGTTGCGTTGCTGGTAAAAGGTATTAGTGATACTAAGATCAAATTCCTTGCAAATAATGAGAAGGCGTAATCCATTAGAATTCACATGACCAATACCATGGTGGCCTAAAACGCCCTTCCAAGAATGATAATCATTGCCAACACAAGCATTGAAGTCACCTGTAAGGACTAATTTATCCTTATGTTGGACTTTGGAGATGACATCCCGAAGAAGATTGTAAAAATCATCTTTTTCTTCATCTGAACTACCTAAGGTTGGCGCGTAGCAGCTAACCATCGTCACACGGGTGTTGCACTCCAGATTGAGGGTTAATGCCATTATGCAATCAGATACACATTTAGGTAAGGAAGGCAGTGAGATAGCAAGGTCTGACTTTATGGCAAAGCCAACACCAGACTGGCGTGGCTCTTTCTCAGTCTTGCCAGCCCATAAAAATACGTATCCGCCATTTTCTTCCCTAAGCTGAGAATTACCAGCCAGACGTGTTTCACCAATGGCTGCTATGTCGATGTTATATTTCTTTAACTCGAGAGATACAAGAGCTGTTTTACGCTCTGGTGCAGAATCATTGCCCTGAAGCGTGCGAACATTTCAGGGTCCAAAATGGAAATATATATATATATATATATATAAGAAAAGCGTTAAAGCTACTAACACACAAAGGGGTACTGAATGTGAAAGAATATGAGGAAAAACATTATTAAGAATTGAGGCCAGTAAAGGAACAGGAATGACGAAAACAGAAGATAACGATTGACATTACATTTAAATTTTTGAAGATCCAAGCTGAATGGAAAGCGAGAAGCCGAAAGAGAGTTCCACGCATAATCGTTGCTAATTATGTTTTCTGATCCTAAAACTATACAGATTTTTAAACATATTTTAAATGTGCCATATGGCAGTGAATGCTGGACAATTTCTTAACAGAAGAAGAACATGAAGCGCTTGAGATGTGAGAATGATGAGAATAACATGAACAGAGAATGTTTTTAAGGGTAATAGAAACTTCAAAGAAAGAAACTGCCCCTAAAAACATCATAAATAGACAACTTGGGGGACATGTGATAAGGAAAAGAATCTTGGAGAATTTAGCATTCACTCGATATACTGAAGCATGGAAAAAGTCATTTTAATTTTACAAATCTAAGTAAATGAGAGAAGAACGAAGATATCGTGAACAAAGATGCAGTAAAGAATTACTTTGAGTAAAAGAGGAAAGGAAGTTGTGGAGAACTGTGATAGAAATGAGGAAAGAAGGGTCGAAGAGTTTAACATACGACATGCTGATGCAAGAGAGGCAGGGGAAACCGGCTTTATGAGAAAAAGAAACGCATGGACACAGAAGAAGCAAGAGTTACTTAGAGCAATAAAAACAGGAGGTTGTGGAGACCCTTTGAAAGACAACGGCATAGAAAAAGAAACAGAAGCCGTTAAATGATATTACAACTACAAATCAATACAGTCGGTATTAAACTTTAGTCAGAATTGATTTGCAACGAGATGGTCGTAATGGAACCTGAATATTTAATGGTTAAATCACATATTCCTTTTTATAAAATTATATGTCGCTTCTTCTTCCCATTCTTTGTTCTCCTTGACCCTGCGAAAAGAAGCCGTAAATTAACTTTATAATCAAAGATTGTTCGATGATGAGAGAAATACATGTTCTACAGATTAACATTTCAGATTTCTCCTTTTGGGGATTACGATCTCTGACTTCTGAAAACGGATGCTAGAAAATAAGTAAAGACAATAATAGAAATTTAGGAGAAGCCAACTAGAGAGCTTATCTATTCATGAATTTTTGAACAGGGCCCAATTTTTATGTTGAGAAAGTGGATACAACAAAGAGAAAAAAATGGATATCTTAGATTAATACCAAAATAGATAAATAAAAAAAAAAGGACGGAGAAAAAAATGAAACAATTTGTAAACATGTAACTTCAAACTAATTATAGACATCTAGTTTCTTTTCCCCACTGTTTTTTTTTCTATTCTTCACACTTTCCATTTTCAGGATATTAACTATTTTTCCTCTTCTCTCATCTTGATTAATGTCTTCCCAAAGAATTACCTCTTCGAAAAACCAGCGTTCTTTATCAATTTCTCTTGCATGTTTTGTCATCAAACGCGTGTGCATTTCTGGATCTTTTCCTCTTAAGGAACTAGAAGATACATTTGTAAATGGATTTTTGTTC